AGAAGGGTTAAAGTCGCGTATTGTAAGAGAATGGCTGGTGGATGTTTTAGTTTGATTTATAGTCTGGACCTGAGCTGTAGTGGCTAGGTTCCGGTTTTTGGTGTATATATATATTGTTGCATTGCGGTATAATGTGGCATCAAAGTCACCCTGGACTCCCAGCAAGAGGGGCTGAGCAGCTCCAGGAAAGCACTTTTACCAGGAACGAGCTGGCTTTACAATACTGGGATCCTGGAGCCGGGAGATTTCTAAGTGAACTGGGAGGGAAGAAATCTCCATTCCGGGCTTTAGTGGTGACCAGCACCGAACGATGGTGCACCTGTGCACAGCCCTTATTGAAAAGGATGCTGGTTCAGGGTTCCAGCTAGAAGACAAAGGAGGTCCCTGTCCAGGCGTCAGGAGGACTCCATCCTGAAACCAGCCTGTGTGGCACGTCAGCTGGATACAGCCCCATGTGGGAGAGGTTTTTAGTGATAACCTGAAGTCGGTGAGACTTGGAGAAACATTATTTTGCTGTACTTTATGCTTGAAGACCCCGGCGAGGGAAACACCTGTGTGGACTTTTATGGTTGAATGAATAAAAGTGGGCAAAGAAGCCCTTAAAAAGACGTGGTAAGCGAGTGGACTCCGTCCTTAGGTGTACGTTTAATAAACCTTGATAAAACTAGCTTGATCACGAGTTAACTTTACTCAGCAGATCACTTTGTTTTACTCGGCTGCACAGAGGCTGTTTAATAACCTGCGAAAAGAAAACTTATCACACGAAACAGCTGTGAAAGGCTGAGATAAGTCGTCACGGTGATCAGTAGAGAAAGCAATGCGGGGAATGTATTCTGATCTGCACAATGACATCCTTTGTGATAATCTACAATCCTCCTGACAGGATCGTAGTTTAATCTGCCAAACCACCCATTAACAATATTACAAAGCACCTCTATAGCAAAGTGCAACAGTTATTTCTCTGTTATAATGATGAAAATTGCTAAAAAGCCGGATTTACAAGGCTAAATGCGCTCCAAAAAGGGTCCTGCTGTAGCGACACACGACCCGCGACAGCAGGACCCTTTGCCCCATTGAAATGCATTGGAGCGCGATGCGCGATAAATCGCTCAATGTGAACGGGGCTTAAGACAGACTTCCCTCATTTTCCCTCTCAAGGCTGTGACACACTGCAGGCGAAGCAAAGCGAAAAAAAAAAAAGCAACCTTCCACTTCGCACCGCAGCTTGTCTACACTGTAGTTTGTCCGGGCACAGTGGAGTTTACATTCAAAGCCGATTTCCCGTTTGTGCGTGCCGCCTAGCGGTGGGCACGAGCGGGGCGGGTTAGGACGTTTAAAAACGCCCACCCGCATTCCGTCATGGATAGAATAGCACTAGGCTCTGAATAGAACATACCACTCAGTCCGCCCCTGTAGGCGGATCAACCGCCCATCTCACACCCGTGAATGCGGAAATAGCAGACACATTGCTTTTCAGAGTTGGAAGGCTCAGATGCATGTCGAGACCCTTCTGAAGAAAATCCAGCACATGGCATACGTCCATGAATCTGACCCATATCATATTGTAGGTCCTGTTCGTAGTAGTTTTCCTGGCGTTCAACAGGGTGCCGATAACAGCCTCAGAACACCCACGACTAGTCAACTGCCGCCTCTCAAGATCCAGGCCATCAGGCAGAGTTTCTCTGGAGCCGGATGGAACAGTGTACTGTTGAACAATAAGTCCCTCGATACCGGAATTGGCAATGGATCCATCACCGCCAGTCTGCATAGGAGAGGGTACCAAGGTCGCCTTGGCCAGTTGGGCAGAACTGCCAAGATCGTGACTCGCTCTCTGCAGAGCCTCATCAGGTTTACCGGAATGGTTGTAAAAGCATAGGCAGTTTGAAAGGTCCAATCCACAGTCAGAGCATCCGTGGCTATCACTTGGGGACACGGGAACCTGGCGACAAACCTCGGCAGCTCGGAATTCGTTGTGGACACAAAGAGATCCACTTTGGGGAAGAAAGGCCCATTCTGTTAGGCTCCGAAAGACTGGCAGAGAGAGGTAAGTCCGAGACAGGTAGTCCGCCTGAAGGTTGGAGCGACCATGAATATATATGGCAGTGAGATGCAACAGATAGACCTGTGCCCTAGACATAATTGGAGCAATCTCCGACAGAAGACCCAGACTGCGAGTCCCCCCTGCCGTTTTACATAAGCCACAGCCGTGACATTGTCCATCATCAGTAGAACCGAGCGGTGCCAGATGAGTTTCCGAAAGGCCAACAGGGCCTGGAAGGGCAGCCCTCAACTCCAGCACATTGGAGATGACACCCCTCATGGGAGAGCGCCAGCGGCCCTGAGCAGAGTGACCTAGGCAGGTTGCTCCCCAGCCGACTTGTATCCGAAGTCACCACAATCCACCGAATGGGGAGAAGCGAGTGACAGCAGAGAAGGTTGCGTTCTTGTAGTCACCACTGAAGACTGTGCCGCATCGAGGAGCTGATTCTGATCCTTTGGTGCATGAGCCCAGATCGCCACTGTGCCAGGAAAGTTGACTGGAAAGTCCTCGACCTCCACTGGGCCCAATGCACCATCGGAATCGTCGAGACCATCGTGCCGATTATCCTGAGGCAATGAGCCGTGGAAAGGGACATAGCTGACGAGGCCACTGATAGTTTCCGGACCACGGTGAGTCGTTTCTCTTGAGGAAGGGACACAGTCGCAGCAATCGTGTTTATTCTTGCTCCCAGATACACCAGATCCTGAGAAGGGCATAAGTGACTTTTTACCATGTTGACAATCCTGCCAAAGTCTTCGAGGGTGGAACGAACCAGTGAGCGATGAGCCAATAACAAGTCTCGATCGTGACTGAGCATTAAAATGTCGTCGAGGTAATGATGAATTCTGACTCCTTTTATCCTGAGAAACGCCACCAGTGAAAGCAGAACCTTCGTGAAAACTCTGGAAGAGGTGGTAAGCCCGAAAGGCAGGCACACGAACTGGAAGTGCAGCCTTCCTACAGCGAAGCATAGAAATTGATTAAAATTGGGATGAACTGGCACGTGAAAATAGGGTTATTTCAAGTATATAGAGAGAAGCCAATCCCCTCACTGAATGACCTTTTAGAATGGTCTGTTGGGACTCCATTTTGAAATGCACCTTCACAATGAAGCGGTTGAGGAACGTCAAGTCAAGTCCACCACAGGTCTCCAATCTCCACTCCTCTTTTGCACCAGGAACAGAGGAGAGTAAACACCTGAAAGCGCTCCTGGTGTGGCACCACCACAGCTCTTTGAGAAAACAGGGTTCTTGCATACTCCCAAAGTACTCCTCGTTTGACACCGCATTCTGGCAGGTGCGTTGGAATGAAGGAAGGATGACGGTGCTGTAGAAATGTCCAAGCATTCAAATCTTGTTCACCACCCAACGGTCTTCTATGTTGGCCCGCCCAGACCCATCCAAAGGTGGTCAATCGGGCACCCACTCGACGACCTGGGCGGGCAAAACTTCAAAAGGACTGCTGGTGATCTTGAGTAGAAGAGGAGGGTCCCTTCTTGGTTTTGGGAAACGAGGAGGAAGCCTTCCAGGGCCTCCGGAACTGTTTTCCAGGCTTATAGGATTTTGCATCCGTCTAGCGCTCCCACAGTTAGGAAAATTGCAGGTTTCCCCAAAAATGTCAGCTATTTTCACCCACTCCTCGTTGGGTTTGGACATCACAACATCATGAAGGACATCCCATATGGCACAGCATATTTCTTCGACGATGTTGCTAGCTGTCGATTTGCCGATCATGAAGGCAGAGGTGTCACTAGGGTTGGTGTCACCCAGTGCAGTGACTGATGGGGTCCCCCCCCCAAAAAAAAATACAAATTCAGTAACAAGCAAGGGAGTTCAAAATTAAGTGTAGTTTAACATTCATCTTTAAATAAATCCGTAAATAATAGTAAACTTTAAA